TGAAGACTGTCACTTTACAATATGGGACATTAAAATTCATGAATAAACCACATTATTTCATTTAATTTCTTTAATTTTGCTCAGCAAATTTAATTTCGCTTAGTACACACCCTTTGCATATAACTTTGTGTGTGTGTGTGTGTGTGTGTGTGTGTGTGCGTGCATGTGTGTGCACCAGTTCTGGGACTTGAACTCGGGGCCTGGGGGCTGTGATTGCCTGTCCAAGAGCTGGCCATTTTGTTCTTGTTGCTGTTGTTGGTTGTGCGGCTTGAACTCGGGGCCTGGATGCTGTCCCTAAGCTCTTTTGCTCAAGGCTAGTACTCTACCACTTTGAGCCACAAAACCACTTCCATTTTTTTGGTGGTTAATTGGAGATAAGAGTCTCATAGACTTTCCTACCCAGACTAGCTTCAAACCACAATCCTCCGATCTCAGCCACCGAGTAGCTAGGATGACAGGCATGAGCTGGCTACTTTCTTTTTTTTTTTTTTTGTCGGTCATGGGGCTTGAACTCTGGGCCTGGGCGCTGTCCTTCGGCACTTCAGCTCAAGGCGAGCACTCTACCACTTGAGCTACAGCGCCACTTCCGGTTTTCTGGTGGTTTATTAGAGATAGGAGTCTCACAGTCTTTCCTGCCCGGGCTGGCTTTGAACCGCGATCCTCAGATCTCAGCTTCCTGAGTAGCTAGGATTACAGGCGTGAGCTACCGGCGCCCGGCAAAGCTGGCTACTTTCTTAAAAGAGATATTAAGGACTTGTCTCTAAGCACACCTTCTACACGTAGACCACTAATCTAGATCTTATACCTTAGCTATTTCCTTTGAGCAAAGACAGCACCAAGAAACATTTCCCAACTTCCCATCTTCCTGTGCTCTGGTTGACCCTACAGACTTCTGTGTAGGGTTCCTTTCTTGGTCTCCACTGGTCCCTTCTCCCAACTCTTGTCCCCAGGCACCGATATTGAGCCTGTAATTGTAAGCTTGGGAGAACTGGTTCCGGGACTGGGGTTTGTGGGCTCTCCTGGGAACCATTGGCTTCACCTTCTTCTTCAGTCTCTGTAATAAGGACTTCTCTGGGCTGTCTTAGATAGTTGGGTAGCTGAGGTGATACGTGGGCCGGTAGGAGTGGGTGGGCTCACAGACTCACAGGGGTTGGCCAGACTTCCATCTCCCCAACATCATCTCCTTGGCTAACTCCTTTTTCTCTGTCTCTTTGAGCCCTTTGGATGAGAGAAGGCTGTTGCTGAGGTAAGCCCCTCTCTGTCTGAACTAGAAAGTCCACAGGATGAGATGTCACGGGCATCCATGGTGACTCAGGGAAGGAGGTCAGAGGAATGGCCATTCTCTTCCTTACTCCTTCTCACCGGGCAAGTGGAAGCACAGAAGGATGATGGGATTGTTCTGATCTGAGAAACGCCTTGACCGCGTGTGTCTGCTGAACTGGTGTTCTTGCAGGGAGAGTTGAGTGAGAATCTTTCTCCTGTGATCTCTTACCAGTTGTCTGTTCTTTTTCATTTCATTAGAATGAGTTTTTGCTTTCTTCTTTCTTTCTTTTCTTTTTCTGTTGGAGGAACATTGTCCTTTCAGTGTTATTTTTTTTTTTTAATGTGCTGCAGAATTACATTGCTTATTTATTTTTTGTTTATGTGGTACTGGAACCCAGGGCTTCATGCATGCTAGGCAAGCACTCTACCACTAAGCCACCTTCCCAACCCTTTCAGTGTTATTTATCTTCACACGCTTTCCTTTTGTTCTTTCCCTTGGATCTCTGTTGTTCTTTCCTTAATAACCTTTTCTTTTCCTCTCTCCTCTGTCTTGGTTGGACTCAGATATGGGTTTGGGGGTTGAAGAATGTTCCATCGTGGGAAAACAGAGGATGAGTGAGAGGAGGCAAAGGTGAAGGGGTTGGGAGGAGAGGGATGACATGGGATAAGATGCTCTCCCGTCCTCCCAAGGCAATGTGGTATAGACAAGGTGGATTCCTTTATGTTGCTATTTATAATTTAAAAAATGAAGTGATCAACTGGACACACAGCAGGAGGGTCTGAAGGCAACATGAAAAGTAGTATATGAGACACTAGAATAGACTTCTGCTGTGACGATCAGCCCACTCCATGCAATGAGAAGACAATCCATAGGAGATCTCAAGGTCATGGTAGGAGCCAAACCACAGGATGTAGTCAGGAAAGCAGGAGATGTACAAATCCACACAAAGAAGAGACAGCCTGCCTTATGTTGGTGTGCAAGCCCCGGGAAACCTCAGGGAACAAAGTGATCAGGGATGGAAACAGGGATGGATTTAGTGTTAAGCAGGGCATTGATGGAATCCGACTCTGAGATGGTTGTGAGTGGGTGAGTGGGCAAGGCAGAGCACACCAAGAAAGAGCCTTCTGTGAAGGGGTTAATGTGAGTGCCAAGATCCCCAGGGTAGAAGTGGAAAGAGCAGAAGGACAGGAGGTTCGGGGGTAGTGGTGATGGAAGCACATTGCTTTTTATTCTTAACAAGACAGGCTTACTCTGATGTTCTGTGTCAGTAGTTTGGGGGTACCAGTGGGGATTTAGTGGGCATTGTCATTATCTGGTGATACAGCAATGAGCTGGTGGCTAGATAGAAGGAGGAGCTAGGAGAAAGAGGTGCTCAGGAATAGGTATGATTGGAAGAAGCAATGATTTAGAATGTGTGGGATGTGTGCTTGGCATAGAGGACTCAAGGGGCAACTAGACAGACCTGTTATTAAATAAAATAGGAAGGAGGGGAGGACAGGCTTTTTTGTTTCCTAGGGGAAATGTTGAGCTCTGATGGCCACTTGCAGGAGGTCTAGGTCTAATGGGCTTCCAAGGAAAGGAGTCGAAAACTCAGTTGATTCTAAGTTCCAGGGAACCATAGAGGATGGTTATATTTTAATATACCCATTTTATATTTTAATATAAGAAAGTGGAGGACAAAGGGGAGACCAAGGGCTCCCCTAGAAGTGGGATGATCTGCTAGTTGAGTCTGAGACCAGTATGACCAGGACGGTGCTGTAAGGACGTGAGAATAGTGGTGTGCTCCTATAGAAAACACTGCCCGCATAACTTCCGGATGTCATTGTTTGGAAGAAGGCCTGGGTATCTTTTGTGGCACAAGTTAGGATGTGGTCTCTTTGGCAGAAAAATAGATAATGTAGCTCGCTTCTTAGTCAACCACCCTGCCCAGCTCATCCTACCTTAGGAAATTACCCTGGCTCTTTTCATGGAGAACACAGGGTCCTGTGCAGTCATGGTCTCGTTTCTGCTTTGCCATGAAGTGAGGTGGACTTGAGTAACATCAGCACACAGCTGTCTCACAGATACGACTCTCATCCATTTGTGGGGAACTGCCTCAAGTCTTTCTCTTAAAGAGGAATCATATAATGAACTACTAGAATGAGGGCGAGAGCAAGGTGTCCTGGCATTAAAGGAAGAGGTTTTCTGCTCTGGGGAAATGGAACTCACAGCCTTGTATCTCTTCATCATGAATTATTATCTTCAGCCAACTACATGTACAGAGGCTATATTGTGAATGGGGCACCCTACCAGAGGCTTCTAGATGTCATTGTGAACAATAACTGATCCGTGTATTCCAGTAGGACGGTTCGGAAAGTAAAAGCACAAAGATGGAAGCATGTACAAGGTGAAATGGGGTAAGTGCAGTGGGAAAACCAGGTCAGGAAGTGCAACAGTACTTAGAGTTTTAATGCAACTTTTCAGCTTGGAAAAAGTTGGCATTGGAGTGAAGGAATGAAGCAGATATCTGTGAATAGAGCATGCCACAGAGAGAGCAATTTCAAAGGACCAAGGATAGACATGGTCCTGTTTGAGGAAATTCAAGAAAACAAAATTCAAGGATTCAAGGGCACAAAAGGGGAGTGGTAGACAAATTCAGGGGTAGTGTGTGTGTGTGTGTGTGTGTGTGTGAGAGAGAGAGAGAGAGAGAGAGAGAGAGAAAGAGAGAGAGAGAGGGGGGGGGGAGGCATGAGATGGGGAGCTTTGCTTGCCATTGAAAGGATTTTGACTTAATTTGAAGTAATTTGGGAAGTGACTGATATACTTCCATATATGTATATATATATATATATATATATATATATATATATATATATATTGTAATTGTGGAGGTGATATACAAAAGGGTTATAGTTACATGAGTCAGGTAATGAGTACAATTCTTTCTGAACAATTCTTTGTCTATCCTTCCCTTGCTCTCTCCCAGTTTTCCCTTCCCGATGACAGACCTACTTTCCCCAGGAAATTGGTAACCAATCCACATTTTGGAAGGATCACTGGAATTGATGTGAAAAATAAAGCCCAGCGGTTCAAAGACAGAAGCTGGGAGATCCGAAAGGAAGATTTTATGATCTAGGCAAGAGAGGATAGTAGCTTAAAACAGGGTAGTTGCTGAGACAATTCGGTTCTGAGAGTCTGTGAATCTGGGACCAAGAGGTTCTTTTTGGGAGTGTGAATCTGTGAATGAAAGAAATATTTAAATAACGATGGGTTTAAGATTTTGTGTCTGCACAAAACAAAGGCCAAGAAACAATCCCAAGTCTTCCCTGATTTTAATGTATAAATTCTCTCCTATGAAGGAAATGGTTGCAAGAACTGTTAAAGATAGTTTACAAGGCAATGTAATGACAGCTACAAAGAGTCAGTGCCATATGACAAAGCCAAGGTTTTGTCTGTAGGGGGATTGTCACACACACACACACACACACACACACACACACACACAGAATTAGTTTCTACTCTTCTTGGTGTAGATCAATACAAATGAATAGGTAATTCTGTGAATTAGCAGAGATCTAACTATATCCTGAGGAAATTAATAAGTGTTCTCTTCTCCGCCAAATCTCATGTGTTTACCTCTGATGAATCACAAAAGATCTATCTGACCAAGGAAGAAGAATGATATTTAGAGATTAAAGGCACGGTCCTCATTCTCAGAATTTTTCTGTCCATATTCTCAGGTGACTGGTGGCTCAGTCATGGGAGTGTGGTTGAACCAATCAACTCTTGATGGGTTTATTCTCCTGGGCATCTTCTCTCATAGCCAGATTGATTCAGTTCTTTTCTCCATTGTTTTTGGAGTCTTCCTGGTGGCCCTCTGTGGGAACATTCTCCTTATCCTTCTCATCTACACAGACCCTCGACTCCACACACCCATGTACTTCTTCCTCAGCCAACTCTCCTTCATGGACCTCATGTTGGTCTGTGACATTGTGCCAAAGATGGCGGTTAACTTCCTGTCTGGCAGGAAATCCATCTCCTTTGTGGGCTGTGGGGTACAAATTGGAGTTTTTGTCTCCCTCGTGGGGTCTGAGGGACTCTTGCTGGGACTCATGGGTTATGACCGCTATGTGGCCATTAGTCACCCACTACATTATCCCGTACGCATGAGCCCAAAGGTCTGTCTCCAGATTGCAGGGAGCTCCTGGGCTTTTGGGATCTTGGATGGAATGATTCAGATGGTGGCAGCCATGAGCTTTCCCTACTGTGGCTCGAGGACCGTGGATCACTTCTTCTGTGAGGTGCCAGCTTTACTGAAACTGGCCTGCGCAGACACATCCCTTTTCGATACCCTGCTTTTTGCTTGCTGTGTCTTCATGCTGCTCCTTCCCTTCTCCATCATCGTGGCCTCCTATGCTCGCATCCTGGGGGCTGTGCTCCGTATGAACTCTGCTCAGTCCCGCAAGAAGGCCCTGGCCACCTGCTCCTCCCACCTGATCACCGTCTCCCTGTTCTACGGGGCAGCCATGTTTATCTACTTAAGGCCCAGGCGATACCGAGCTCCTAGCCATTACAAGGTGGTCTCTATCTTCTACACGGCCCTTACTCCTATGCTCAACCCCCTCATTTATAGCTTAAGAAACCGGGAGGTGATGGGGGCACTGAGGAAGGGGTTGGATCGCTGCAGGATTGGCAGCCAGCACTGAACACTAAACTGGCTGAATCTGCCTCCTCCAGTAAGTCAGTCACCCTGGGAGCATGTCTGCCTCCTTGTTAGTAAATGAGAAGAATGCCCGCTCTTCCTTGCAGAGATCACAGGCAAATCTAAAGCCTTACGAAGGCATAATGCAGTCCATGATTGCCACTGTTGGCTTGTTTATGATACCCTTGCATTAAAGTTATTCTGTTGGGGAGGGGGAGGTGTGAAGGATGGGAAAGGGAAACAAAGGAGGAGGCAACAATGCTTGATGAGAAATGTACTCATTCCCTTGCCCATGTAATTGTAACCCCTCTGTACGGTATTTTCACAATAAAAAATTAAAAAAAAAGTTATTCTGTTCATTTCTCCTGGCATCTTTGTCTTTTGTTCTAGGGCATTACCGTCTTCGTTTACATCCTTTTCTAGATTATTTAATAGATGATTCAGGCCAATAAATAGAAATACCTGATGTGGAAACTTTCTAGATGTTGACTCTCTAGAACTCTTGATTAGTTCTGAGCCTTGTCCACCCTTGTCCACTTGAGACTTCATAAACCTTATTTTAAGAAATTAAAAAAAAGGGAGGTGGGGAGGGAAGGGATGGTAGGGGAAAAACAAAGGAGGAGGTAACAATGATCCATAGGAAATGTACTCATTACCTTACTCATGTAACTGTAACCACTCTGTACAGTATTTCTACAATAAAAAAATAAAAAAGACATTTAAAAAATCTTATTATTTAGATGTTCTCTCTTCAAGGACCATGTCTTCTTCATTTGTGTATTGTCAATATTTAATTCCATGCTTTCTAACTAGCAGATTCTCAATAAAACCCATTTCTTATAGAAGGAAGCATCCAATAATGCCTTCATGCTCTGCGGTTGGTTTTGTACCCTAAGAATGTAGAGAAGATCTCTAGTCCCAGATTACTGAGACACAGAGAAGCTGGTCAGCCAGTACGTGTTCCTCTGGCAGGCTGTATCAGAATGGTTCTGAAAATGCACATTGCTGGGAGGGTTTGCACAGCTACTACCAGGAAAACATGAGGGGTTATTTTTCTTTCCTTTTGCCATATAGCCTGCTTCTAATTGTTCTGTTGTCAGATCCTGATGTGAGTCTCGATGATACAAGCAGCCGGAGCTACTTGGAGAGGGCTTGGAGCTGTGAGAGTAGATTTCCCAAGCACACAGTGTAGCTCTCCAGCTACTCAGTGCCCTGCTCCCTAACCCCCATTTACTCTTATTTGAACTTCCATCGAGTAGCAACAACTACACTGTGCTTCTTCCTTAAAATGTGCATGGTATTCTTCAACAGCCATAGTTCTCATAATACCTTATAATCAGCCACAATCTCATCTGAATATTATCTATCACCAATTATAGTTATTTCCTTCCTTCCTTCCTTCCTTCCTTCCTTCCTTCCTTCCTTCCTTCCTTCCTTCCTTCCTTCCTTTCTCCCTCCCTCCCTCCCTCCCTTCCTTCCTTCTTTCCTTCTTACCTTCATAACTTTTCCAGTTGTAGGGCTTGAACTTAGGGCCTGGGTGCTGTCCCTGAGGTTTTTAGCTCAAGGGTACTGCTCTGTCACCTGAGCCACAGCACTAATTTCCACACCTTGGTGCTTAACTGGAGATAAAAGTCTCATGCCCTTTTCTGTTGAGGTTGGCTTTGAGCTGCAATATTCAGATCTCAACTTCCATAATAACGAGGATTACAGGAATGGTTCATAGGTGCCTGACTACAGCAAAACTTTTGTGATGAGCACCACTGTTTGCTTTTTACAGAATGAGGAAACTGAGAGTCAGATTAGTCAAACTCCATCTAGGCTTTTGTGACCCAGCTTAGTCTCTATCCTGTGCTCCCTTTAATTTTGAAAGACATTTAACCTGAGAGAGGGAAACTCACTCATTTGGGAGCTGACAGGAGAGCGGGCAGGATGTGGTCAGTGCTGGGTCAAGCGAGCTGCTGGTGTTCATTCTGTCCTCTTGGGGACCTGCATTGAATTGCAGTAGAGCCGAACTCTGAGGTCAGAGCGTTTAAGTTGGTGACTCATTTAAAGCTTCCAAATCTTACACGAGAGCTGCCGCCTTTAGCTTAGGTCATGGCAAGAGGCAGAGGGAGGGAGAGGGGTGTTGTTCTAGAAGATTCCAAAAGATGCCCTGTTGATTCCACCTACACGTATGGCAGCATGGCTGTCCCCAAGATGGACCCTAACTACACAGAACAGGACAGCCGTGCACTTCTTCCTAAGTGCGCCCATAGAAGCCCTCATGACTTCCTTTCCCCCTCTCCCTTCCCCTGGGACACTTGGTTGGCTGGGGTGACTGAGAGGCTCAGAGAAGTTCCCAGGAAGTTGTCTTCCCTCGGAGGTTTAATTGTGAGAGACTGGGGACAGAGGTGTGTCGGAGGAGGGGTGGTCTCTGAGGATTTGTGAAAAGAGAAGCAACTTAGTCACAGCAGAGGACATAACAGTGGATGGGAGTGAGTAGGGGCAGAGAATTAGAGCTCTCTGGACCTGGCCCAGGGGAGGGGCTCAAGTACAGGTGAGAAGCTCTGTGTGCCCCCTGCCTCCTTTCAGGAAGGCACCCTTCCTCTTTTTGTGCAGGTCACTTGCACACTGCCTTCCTTTCAGATGTGGGATATTTCTATCTGTGCTCTTTCTGGAAGGCTTTTAAACTGTCTATAGGTCTATTTTTTTTGTATTTTTTTTTTTGGTTCTGAGGATTGAACCCAGAGCCTTGGACTTGTGAGGCAAGTGCTTTGCCAGTGAGCTACATCTCAGCCCCTCTGGTAGGCTTTCTAATCCCCTCAAGATTCTCCCAGGGCTTTAAGATAGGATTCTCTTTGCCAGGTTTTCTAGAGTTCTTTCTCTCAGCATCTGTTTTCTTCCCATTCTCATGCATTCTTCAAAACCTTTCCCTCATCCTTTTTTTGTATTTCCTGTGTGTGTGTGTGTGTGTGTGTGTGTGTGTGTGTGTGTGTTCCAAACATCTCCATCAACTCCAGTTTTCACCATACAGGGTGGACCAGAGTTGTTCTAACTGTGAGCTTTTTGTTCTACAAATTCCTCTTTAGGTTTCCTCAGTCCCTCCTGCTTCTTTTCAGATCCATTTCTTTTAGTGAGATGGAGCTCCATCAGCTTGTTTGAACTGAGAGAGACCTGGTTGCACACCTAACTCCCTGAGCAGAGCAGCGGGTCTCTGGGTGGCAGTGGGGTTCATCAGGGACATACAGCTTCTGACTGGAAGGCCGCCCACTCGGTTTCCCAGACCTGTGTCTGGTGTCATCAGATTTGTGGTTTCAGGTAATGCACTTCTTCCTGTCTTCTATCTCCTCTCTAATGATCAAATCCTCAGCAGTCTGTAAGCTTGTTGACTCCATAACAATCGATGACATTCTGTTGTTTACTATTTCTGTTGAGATAGAGCACTCTTTCCTGATGAGATCTGACCTTTAAAATTCTGGGTTATGCCAGATGTGAGTGGCTCACACCTGTCATTCTAGTTTCTCAGGAGGCTGAGATCTGAGGACTGTGGTTCAAAGCGAGCCTAGATCTAAAGTCCAGCAGATTTATCTCCAACCAACCACCAAGAAGCCATGAGTGGAGTTATTGTTCAAGTGGTTAAGTGCTAGCCTTGAGCAAAAAAAGCTCAGGGATATCACAAAAGCCCCAATTTCAAGCTCCAGAGCCAACACACACTACTAGAACACACACACACACACACACACACACACACACACACACACACACACATATGCACACACACACTTTGCTGTAATCCTTTATTTCATGGACAGAATTGGAAGAGGTCTAAACCGTCATTGTGCATGATTACCTGGGTCCCTCTGAATCTGGGAGAGTTGACTGTCACTGATAATATCTTGGTATGAATTTTATCAGAGAGACAGTAGTAAAATCTACTCTTGCCCATCACCCACAACACCTGCACTTCTTATTCTTAGAAACAAGTCTCTGTTTTCTATTCCTGTTTTCTGTTTTCATATTCTCTTCTACACCCCTTCCTGAAGGACAGTCAGAGCTGTTCCTATTTTGATAAAACATGTTTTGATGTTTCATTCCCCTTTTCTTCCATGTCTCTGTTTTCTGTCTATGGGAGAAAGCTCTCCCATGGGTCTGATTTCCACCCTTTCTGCTTCAGAGCTCTTCCACAACATTCCCAGGTGAGCTTCTGCTGCAGTCTCTGTAGCCTACCTGAAGCCATTGCCCTGGAAAGCCTTTGTCAGGGAAATCTTGCACCTCCAATGGTAGCAACTTAGACCATCCTAGAGTGCGTCTTCCTTCATCGACCCAGATTAGTTTCTCCAGTGGATTGTTTAAAAAGCATTGGCTGAAAGGCCATCAATTCACCGGATAAGAGTCAAACGGTGTCCAAGTACCCTACACAAACTCAGAAATTCTGATTTCCTATGCACTGTAGTTGAAAATGTTTCCCTTCTATTTTACCTTCCTCTACTCCTCTTGCTCAGCACTTATTAGATGCAGACCTTCATCACAATCATTGTCATGGTGCGTTGGGTATTGAATTGGCACCGGATGTAGAGTGGAGGATTTTATCTGTGTCATCCAATGTTATCCTCCGAGCAACTGTGAGGAAGTATTTTCAAACATCCCCGGGTATTCAGAAAGAGACTCAGGATAGTTGGGGATCATGCTCAAGGTCACACAGTGGGTGTCCCTCTCTTGCTTAGGTCATCACAGCATTTTCTATACTTTTCTCTTTTCTGAAGTCTCTTTGTCCTTCCATCATCTGCTGAAATCTTAGACTTGCTCTATTGAGAAAGGCCAATCGTGGCCACTGATTATTGAGGCAAATGTCTGGGGCTTTTGAATTTATGATTGTAATGCTCAGGACTACCCTGGAATGTGGGTATTTTTGTCCTGTTTTTGCAAGATTGGGGAAGTGCAAGCCTCAGTGATGATTTACTTACCCACAGAACAGAACTAATAATTGGTTGAACTGTAGCTGTTATACCTTATCTGGTAATACTTGAGGTTCCAACTCTTCACCTTGGCATGAAGGCTCAGGCTCCCCTCCACTGCTGTCCCTTTGCTCAGTCATTCGGCCTTACCCACCCCTTCAGCAACACAGTGCTTTCTTCTCTGCCTCTTTCCCATGCCTGGAACATCTCACTGACTTCTGCATAGCCTTGGAATCACAGTTATCCTTCAGGCTCCAGGAAGCCTCTCCTGAGTTGAGTAAGCTGATTGTAAGTTCCCCCCTGGCATCCTTCAGAGCAGGCAGATTGCCCCCAGAGCACCTCTCCTGAGGACTCCTGGCCTGCAGGTGTGAATAGATGGTACATGGATTCTACAGACATAGCTACTCAGATCCTTTATGCTCTGCTAATGTGTCATGGGGTTATTAGATATCTATTCCTGCAAATGTGCCTATCACCAAAAAGAGAGTTATTTCAACTCCATGGTCAAAGGTGAGGCCCTTTTACTTGTCTAAAGAATCACAGGAGAGCCAGGCACTGGTGGCTCTTGCCTGTAATCCTAGCTACTCAGGAGGCTGAGATCTGAGGATCATGGTTTGAAACCAGCCAGGGCAGGAAAGATTGAGAGTCTTACCTCCAATTAACTATCAGAAAACCTGTGCCACTGTGGCTGAAGGTATGTCAGGGACAGCACCCACGCCTTGAGTTTTAGTCTTACCAGGACCACTACCACCAACAACCAAAGAATCAAATCAATGAGCATACAAAGACCTCCCAACCCCCCATCTTAGGAACCTCTGATATGGTGGATGTTCACTAGGTAATACTTGACCTATCACCATCTTTGGGATTGTAGATGCCAAGTGCTATAAGACAGAGATTAGTGAGGAGGAGGAGGGACTTGATGGAAAGAAGAAAGGAGGTCTGGGCCTAGGAGGATAGAGTCACAACATACTGGAGGCCCAAACGGGAAACTCTTCCATCTTCTTATTTTTCTTCTCTCAGTAGTTAGCATAGATCTTCCCAGACATAACAGGCATTCAATAAATACATGTTGAATGAATGCAGGCCTAGGCAATCTAGGCAGATTGCATGATGTCACTCACTTGCTGTAGACACATCCTGGGGAGCAATGGCAAATGTACATGTGTATAGGTATATAAATATGTTGTATATGCATATAACATTCATGTATATGATACAAGTAATATTCTTTCTGTTTTTATTGAGGAAATAAACTTTGATTTTACTCTTTTTTTTTTCTTCAGAGAGAGACTAGCTCTGGCCTGTTAAGTGGTGAGGAAAGTTGAGACACAATGGGCATCCTACAATATCTGAATCTGCTGAGTTTGTAGTCAGGCTCTTGGACCTAAGCACAGGATGGCCCAGTGGTGGGAGTGGAATCTGGGCAGGGGCAGGACACAGATGTTGTGTTCATCTGTATTCCCCACAGGCTATGTAGTACCTGAGGGCTGGGGCAGCCATGAGAAAACTCAGAGGGAAGTAGGGGGTTGCAACACAAAGTCTGCTATCCACAGTTCTTCCAGTTAGGTTGGGAAGACTTAGACAGAGGGTCAGCTCTCACTTGAGCGTTGACGTTCCAGATGTCTGAGGGCCCATGCCAACCTTGGAACCAGGAGTTCTCTGTCCCTCTGCCTGCATGCCCACTTCAGTCAGGGACCCATTCCCTAGCGACCCCCTCCTTTCTGGTCTGTTCTACCATCTGGGTGATTATTTCTTATCCACTTGGGAAATGAGTGTTTGGGGAATGGTCCAGAGCTGCTGTGTTTGCTGGCTTCTGATGGCAGGATCCTGATTCAAGTACTGTAATGCTAAATGTTGTAAACACTCTGCTTGCAGATCTCAGGCCTTGCCTCCAGTGAACCCAGTGCAGGAACAATGGACTGGCAGGGTAACCAGACTCTCATCTCCCACTTCATCCTTCTGGGCCTCTTCAGCCACTCACCATTACACCTCTTCCTCTTCTGCATCATCATGCTCATGTTTCTGGTGGCCCTGTCTGGCAATGGGCTCATGATCGTCCTCATCAATACAGACTCGCGGCTGCACAGCCCCATGTACTTCTTCCTCAGCTGGCTGTCGCTGATGGACCTCATGCTCATCTCCACCATTGTGCCCCGCATGGCGGCTGACTTCCTGCGAGGTGGGGGTGCCATCTCCTTCACGGGCTGTGGACTGCAGATCCTCTTCTTCCTCACTCTCCTGGGTGATGAGTGCTTCCTGCTGGCGTTCATGGCCTATGACCGCTATGTGGCCATCAGCAACCCCCTGAGGTACTCGGTGGTCATGAGCCGCTGTGTCTGCTGGCTCATGGTGGCAGGATCCTGGCTCTTTGGCCTGGTCGATGGGTTGATCCAGGCTGTCTTCACACTCCGCTTCCCCTACTGTGGCTCCCAGGAGATTGACCATTTCTTCTGTGAGGTTCCCGCTGTGCTTAAACTGGCCTGTGCTGACACCTCCCTCTATGAAACCATGATCTATGTCTGCTGTGTCCTCATGCTGCTCCTGCCTTTCTCTGTCATCTCTGCCTCCTACCTGCGCATCCTGGTGACTGTGCTCCGTATGCGGTCTGCAGAAGGCCGGCAGAAAGCCTTTGCCACCTGCTCTTCCCACATGATGGTGGTCTCCCTCTTCTATGGGGCCGCCATGATCACCTACATGCGGCCTCAGGCCTACCACTCTTCCAAGCAGGACAAGGTGGTGTCTGCCTTCTATACCATGATCACCCCCATGCTCAATCCTCTCATCTACAGTCTGAGAAACAAAGAAGTGACTGGGGCTCTGAGGAAACTCCTGGGAAAGTGTCCCTGTGTGGGCAGGGTGGGAGATTGAGATTGGGGGTCTGATGATATGGAACCTGTATTCGCCAACTGTAGTTTGAGTGGCAGAGAACCAGATATGTCCCACAAAACAACCAACCAAGCAAGCAGCATGCCAGTTCCATCTATCACTACACGCTGCATCCCACTGATGTGAAAGAAAGCCTGGGCCAGAGTAGATGATCAAAGGTCTTCATCCAACAGATGCAGAGAGAGTCAGCAAGGGACATGCCTGAGGAAATCCTCATTTATTACAGTCGTGTTCTCCTCTATGTCTGGGGGCTGCCTGCATCCCATTAGTGATCCTGAAAGGCAATCCCTGCTCCTGCATCCCACTTAGGTTCAGTTTAGGGATCCTAGGAAGCTCATTTCCATGCTCAGTTTTGCTTCCTTACCTGTTTTTTTTCCACCATAGGTATTGATCTGGAGAACTCTTTCCAATAAAATTCTTGGTATAAAATCTGTTTCTCTCTGCTTCTGGAAAACCCGATCTGTGTGACACACAGAAATTCAGGACCCATGGTAATTTAGGAAGGGCGGGAAGTTCTTCCCCATGCTGATGACACTGTCATGACCCAAAGGGGGGTGGTGTCAAAGGGTAGGGTGGTGGGCAGCTTGGGGGACTGGTCACTGGATATAGAGAGGGGGGTGGAAGATGGTGTTCTGAAGTTAAATTGGCTTGAGGGGGAGAGGAGAGATTTGACCTGCATGTTGCAAGGGGTGAGAACCTGAATGGAGCAGTGCCCACACCTGCAGAGAGGTGAGAGACCTGTGGAGAGAAGAGAGGCCTGAGGTGAGGCCCAGGGAGAGGTGAAAGGCTTGAGGTGAGGCCTGGTGAGATGGGAGAGGCCTGAGGTGAAGTGAAGCCTGGGGAGAGGCGAGAGGTCTGGGGAGAGGCAAGAGGGCTTTAGTGAGGCCTGCAGTGAGAAGAGAGGCCTGAGGTGAGGCCTGGGGAGAGGCCAGGCCTGGGGAAAGGAGAGGCCTGTAGAGCTTTTTATCCCACGGCTAGTACTCTACTGCGTGAGGCACAGCCTTACTTTCCACTTCCTGGTGGTAAATTGGAAATAAAGTTCTCATGGACTTGTGCTGACTTTGAACTGCAATCCTCAGATCTCATGCTCCTGAGTAGCTTTGGATTGCAGGAGTGAGTCACAGGTACCTGGCTACAGCAAAGCTTTTGTGATGCTCCTTTATTTTTGAAAAACTTTAAACCTAAGAGTAGAAAACTCACTCATTTTGCAGGTGACAGGAGAGTGGGCAGGAGGTGGTCAGTGCCAAGGATAAGTGACCTGGCTGTGCTTGTTCTGTCCCCTTGGGGACTCATTGAATGCCAGTAGAACTGAACTCGGAGGTAAGAGACTTTAATTTCTTTCCTCAGTTAAAATTGCCTAAGCTTTCATGAGAGCTGCCTCATTTAGCGTTGTCGGGGAGATGTCGTTCTAGAAGATTTCAGAAGATGCCCTGTTGATTCCACCTACACATATGGCAGCATGGCTGTCCCCATGATGAACCACTAGCTACACAGAACAGGACAGCTGTGCACTTCTTCCTAAGTGCACCCATGGAAGTCCTCATGACTTCCTTTCCCCTTCTTTCTTCCCCTGGGACACTTGGTTGGCTGAGGTGCCTGAGATGCTCAGAGATGTTCCCAGGAAGTTTCTTCCCTTGGAGGTTTAATTGTGAGAGACTGGGGACAGCCGTGTGTCAGAGGAGGGGTGGTCTCCGAGGATTTGTGACAAGAGAAGCAACTTAGTCACAGCAGAGGACATAACAGTGGATGAGAGTGAGTAGGGGCAGAGAATTAGAGCTCTCAGCCAGGGGCTGGACCTGGCCCATTGGAGGGGCTCAAGTACAGTTGAGAAGCTCTTTGTGCCCCCTGCCTCCCTTCAGGAAGGCACCCTTCCTCTCTTTGTGCAGGTCATTTGCACACTGCCTTCCTTTCAGATGTGGGATGATATTTCTGTGCTATGTTTCTGGAAGGCTTTTATTTTTTTATTTTTTATTATTATTATTATTTTTTTGGTCAGTCGTAGGGCTTGAACTCTGGGCCTGGAAGCTGTCCCTCAGCTCTTCAGCTCAAGGCGAGCGCTCTACCACTTGAGCTACAGCGCCACTTCTGGTTTTCTGGTGGTTTATTGGAGATAGGAGTCTCACGGTCTCTCCTGCCCGGGCTGGCTTTGAACCGCGATCCTCAGATCTCAGCCTCCTGAGTAGCTAGGATTACAGGCGTGAGCCACAGCGCTCGGCTCTGGAAGGCTTTTAAACTGTCTATAGGTCTAATTTTTTTGTCTTTTCTTTTCTTTTTTTATGGTTCTGAGGATTGAACCCAGAGCCTTGGACTTGTGAGGCAAGTGCTTTGCCAGTGAGCTACATCTCAGCCCCTCTGGTAGGCTTTCTAATCTCCTAAAGATTCTCCCAGTGCTTTAAGATAGGATTCTCTTTGCCAGGTTTTCTAGAGTTCTTTCTCTCAGCATCTGTTTTCTTCCTATTCTCATGCATTCTTCAAAACCTTTCCCACATCCTTTTTTTGTATTTTCTGTGTGTGTGTGTGTGTGTGTGTGTGTGTGTGTGTGTGTGTGTGTTCCAAACATCTCCATCAACTCCAGTTTTCACCATACAGGGTGGACCAGAGTTGTTCTAACTGTGAGCTTTTTGTTCTACAAATTCCTCTTTCGGTTTCCTCAGTCCCTCCTGCTTCTTTTCAGATCCATTTCTTTTAGTGAGATGGAGCTCCATCAGCTTGTTTGAACTGAGAGAGACCTGGTTGCACACCTAACTCCCTGAGCAGAGCAGCGGGTCTCTGGGTGGCAGTGGGGTTCACCAGGGACATACTGCTTGTGATTGGGAGGCCTGCCCCAGCCCTGTGTCTGGTGTCATCGGATTTGTGGTTTCAGGTAATGCACTTCTCCCTGTCTTCTATCTCCTCTCTAATGATCAAATCCTCAGCAGTCTGTAAGTTTGTTGACTCCACATGAATCACTGTGATTCTATGGTTTACTATTTCTGTTGAGATAGAGCATTCTTTCATGATTAGATCTGACCTTTAAAATTCTGGGTTATGCCAGATGTGGGTGGCTCACATCTGTCATCCTAGCTCCTCAGGAGGCTGAGATCTGAGGTTTGTAGTTCAAAGCTAGCCCAGTAGACTTATCTGCAATGAACCACCAAGAAGCCAGGAGTGGAGCTGTGGCTCAAGTGGTAGAGTGCTAGCCTTGAGCAAAAAATGCTTAGGGATATCACAAAAGCCCCAATTTCAAGCTCCAGAGCCAACACACACTACTAAAACACACACACACACACATACACACACACACACACACACACACACACACACACATGCACACATACACTACTAGCAGGATCTTTGCTTTATTTCATGGATAGAATTGGAAGAGAGGTCTAAACCGTGATTATGAATGATTACCTGGTCCCTCTGATTCTGAGGGAGTTGACTGTCACTGATAATATCTTGGTATGAATTTTGTCAGAGAGACAGTAGTAAAATCTACTCTTGCCCACCACCCACAACACCTGCACTTCTTATTCTTAGAAACAGGTCTCTGTTTTCTGTTTTCATATTCTCTTCTATACCCCTTCCTGAAGGACAGTCAGAGCTGTTCTTATGTGGAAAAAACATGTTTTGATGGGTCCTTCCCCTCTTCTTCCATGTCTTGGTTTTCTGTCTACGGGAGAAAGCTCTCTCATGGGTCTGATTTCCATCCTTTCTGTTTCAGAGCTCTTCCACAACATTCCCAGGTGAGCTTCTGTTGCAGTCTCTGTAGCCTACCTGAAGCCATTGTCCTGGGAAGCCTTTGTCAGGGAAATCTTGCATCTCCTATGGTAACAAATTAGATTATCCTAGAGTGGGTCTTCCTTCATCTACCCAGATTAGTTTCTCTAGTGGATTGTTTAAAAAACATTGGCTGAAAGGCCATCAATTCACCGGATAAGAGCTAAACGGTGTCCAAGTGCCCTATACAAACTCAGAAATTCTGATTTCCTATGCACTGTAGTTGAAAATGTTTCCCTTCTATTTTACCTTCCTCTACTCCTCTTGCTCAGCACTTATTAGATGCAGACCTTCATCACAATCATTGTCACGATGCATTGGGTATTGACTTGGCACCGGGTGTGGAGTGGAGGATTTTATCTGTGTCATCCAATGTTATCCTCCGAGCAACTGTGAGGAAGTATTTTCAAACATCCCCGGGTATTCAGAAAGAGACTCAGGATAGTTGGGGATCATGCTCAAGGTCACACAGTGGGTGTCCCTCTCTTGCTTAGGTCATCACAGCATTTTCTATACTTTTCTCTTTTCTGAAGTCTCTTTGTCCTTCCATCATCTGCTGAAATCTTAGACTTGCTCTATTGAGAAAGGCCAATCGTGGCCACTGATTATTGAGGCAAATGTCTGGGGCTTTTGAATTTATGATTGTAATGCTCAGGACTACCCTGGAATGTGGGTATTTTTGTCCTGTTTTTGCAAGATTGGGGAAGTGCAAGCCTCAGTGATGATTTACTTACCCACAGAACAGAACTAATAATTGGTTGAACTGTAGCTGTTATACGTTATCTGGTAATACTTGAGGTTCCAACTCTTCACCTTGGCATGAAGGCTCAGGCTCCCCTCCACTGCTGTCCCTTTGCTCAGTCATTCGGCCTTACCCACCCCTTCAGCAACACTGTGCTTTCTTCTCTGCCTCTTTCCCATGCCTGGATCACCTCACTGACTTCTGCATAGCCTTGGAATCACAGTTATCCTTCAGGCTCCAGGAAGCCTCTCCTGAGTTGAGCAAGCTGATTGAAAGTTCCCCCCGGCATCCTTCAGAGCAGGCAGATTGCCCCCAGAGCACCTCTCCTGAGGGCTCCTGGCCTGCAGGTGTGAATAGATGGTACATGGATTCTACAGACATAGCTACTCAGATCCTTTATGCTCTGCTAATGTCATGGGGTTATTAGATATCTATTCCTACAAATGTGCCTATCACTCAAAGGAGAGTTACTTCAACTCCATGGCCAAAGGTGAGGCCCTTTTACTTGTCTAAAAAATCAAAGGAGAGCCAGGTGCTGGTGGCTCTTGCCTTTAATCCTAGCTACTCAGGAGGCTGAGATCTGAGGATCATGGTTTGAAACCAACCCGAGCAGTAAAGATGGAGAGTCTTATCTCCAATTATCTATCAGAAAACCTGTGCCACTGTGGCTGAAGGTAATAGAGCACTTGCATTGAGCAAAAGATGTCAGGGACAGCACTCACGCCTTGAGTTTTAGTCTTACCAGGACCACTACCACCAACAACCAAAGAATCAAATCCAATCAATGAGCATACAAAGACCTCCCAACCACCCATCTTAGGAACTTCTGATATTGTGGATGTTCACTGGGTAATACTTGACCTATCACCATCTTTGGGATTGTAGATGCCAAGTGCTATAAGACAGAGATTAGTGAGGAGGAGGAGAGACTTGATGGAAAGAAGAAAGGAGGGTCTGGGCCTAGGAGGATAGAGTCACAACATACTGGAGGCCCAAATGGGAAACTCTTCCATCTGCTCATTTATCTACTCTCAGCAGTTAACATAGGTCTTCCTATACATAACAGGTATTCAATAAATGCATGTTGAATGAATGCAGGCCTAGGCTATCTAGGCAGATTGCATGATGTTATTGACTTGCTGTAGACACATCCTGGGGAGCAATGGCAAATGTACATGTGAATAGGTATATGCATATGTATATGCATATAACATTCATGTATATGATACAAGTAATATTCTTTCTGTTTTTATTTAGGAAATAAACTTTGATTTTACTCTTTTTTTTTTCTTCAGAGAGAGACTAGCTCTGGCCTGTTAAGTGGTGAGGAAAGTTGAGACACAATGGGCATCCTTCAATATCTGAATCTGCTGAGTTTGTAGTCAGGCTCTTGGACCTAAGCACAGGATGGCCCAGTGGTGGGAGTGGAATCTGGGCAGGGGCAGGACACAGATGTCGTCTTCATCTGTATTCCCCACAGGCTATGTAGTACCTGAGGGCTGGGGCAGCCATGAGAAAACTCAGAGGGAAGTAGGGGGTTGCAACACAAAGTCTGCTATCCACAGTTCTTCCAGTTAGGTTGGGAAGACTTAGACAGAGGGTCAGCTCTCACTTGAGCGTTGACGTTCCAGATGTCTGAGGGCCCATGTCAACCTTGGAACCAGGAGTTCTCTGTCCCTCTGCCTGCATGCCCACTTCAGTCAGGGACCCATTCCCTAGCGACCCCCTCCTTTCTGGTCTGTTCTACCATCTGGGTGATTATTTCTTATCCACTTGGGAAATGAGTGTTTGGGGAATGGTCCAGAGCTGCTGTGTTTGCTGGCTTCTGATGGCAGGATCCTGATTCAAGTACTGTAATGCTAAATGTTGTAAACACTCTGCTTGCAGATCTCAGGCCTTGCTCCAGTGAACCCAGTGCAGGAACAATGGACTGGCAGGGTAACCAGACTCTCATCTCCCACTTCATCCTTCTGGGCCTCTTCAGCCACTCACCATTACACCTCTTCCTCTTCTGCATCATCATGCTCATGTTTCTGGTGGCCCTGTCTGGCAATGGGCTCATGATCGTCCTCATCAATACAGACTCGCGGCTGCACAGCCCCATGTACTTCTTCCTCAGCTGGCTGTCGCTGATGGACCTCATGCTCATCTCCACCATTGTGCCCCGCATGGCGGCTGACTTCCTGCGAGGTGGGGGTGCCATCTCCTTCACGGGCTGTGGACTGCAGATCCTCTTCTTCCTCACTCTCCTGGGTGATGAGTGCTTCCTGCTGGCGTTCATGGCCTATGACCGCTATGTGGCCATCAGCAACCCCCTGAGGTACTCGGTGGTCATGAGCCGCCGTGTCTGCTGGCTCATGGTGGCAGGATCCTGGCTCTTTGGCCTGGTCGATGGGTTGATCCAGGCAGTTCTTACACTCCTCTTTCCCTACTGTGGTCCCCAGAAGATTGACCACTTCTTCTGTGATATTCCCGCTGTGCTCAAACTGGCCTGTGCTGACACCTCCCTCTATGAAACCCTGATGTATGTCTGCTGTGTCCTCATGCTGCTCCTGCCTTTCTCTGTCATCTCTGCTTCCTACCTGCGCATCCTGGTGACTGTGCTCCGTATGCGGTCTGCAGAAGGCCGTCGAAAAGCCTTTGCCACCTGCTCTTCCCACATGATGGTGGTCTCCCTCTTCTATGGGGCTGCCATGATCACCTACATGCGGCCTCAGGCCTACCACACCTCCAAGCAGGACAAGGTGGTGTCTGCTTTCTACACCATGATCACCCCCATGCTCAATCCTCTCATCTACAGTCTGAGAAACAAAGAAGTGACTGGGGCTCTGAGGAAACTCCTGGGAAAGTGTCCCTGTGTGGGCAGGCTGCGACATTGAGGTTGGGGTCTGATGATATGGATTCTGCTATGTGGGAACCTGTACTCGCCAACTGTAGTTTGACTGGCAGAGAACCAGATTTGCCCCACAGAACAACCAACCAAGCAAGCAGCAGACCAGTTCCATCCATCACTCCATGCTGATTCCCACTGATGTGAAAGAAAGCCTGGGCCTATGAAGGCTACCAAGAATAGATGATCAAAGCTCCTCATCCAACAGATGCTGCTGACAAAGTCAAGAAGGGACAGTGTCTCTCTCCAGGAATATCTATGGCTGAAAAAATCCACATTCATTTCATTCATGTTCTCCTTTCTATTTGAGGGCTGCGTGCATCTCATTAGTGATCCTGAAAGACAATGCTAGCTCTAGGCTCTCAGTGAGGTTCACCTGAGGAATCATAAAAAAACTATTTCCTATGCTCAGTTTTGCTTCCTTACCTGTCTTCTCCCTATCTACCATAAGTGTTGATCTGGAGAGCTCTTTCTAATAAAATTCTTGGCATAAAATCTGTTTTTCTCTGCTTCTGGAAAACCTGATCTGTGTGACACACAGAAATTCAGGACCAATGGTAACCTAGAATTTGCTGCATAAGGTCATGTTGCATGTACTGACTCTATTACTTGGGCACCAAGGAGCCCCTTCCAGGCACTGTTGGCATGAGAGAGTCTCAGACATGCTATCGTAGAGACACCGATGAAAATCTTAAGGGAAGAGTTATAGACACATATGCCCACAGGGACTGATGGAAGGTCTCAAGGAAAGGAGCTGTTGGGCAGACATGGACAAATGGGACACCCACCCCTTGACTAAAACCATTGGCTTTCTCTTCTCTAGGTAGGATAGGTGATCTTAAAGGTTGAGGAGAAGATTCAGTAAACATTGGGTACAGGAGAAGCAACCAGGATGTACTCATTAATGTCTTTTCCATTAATCTAGTGAAATACCAGAGACAGGGTACATCATTGGAAAAAAAGAGTGAAGCAAGGTAGTCTAGGGAAAATAAGGCATGGTGAAAGCTACTCAGAAACCTAGAACTACTATCTTTGCTTCTAAGAGAGACAACTGGATGCATTCCTTACCTGAGGACTTAGCCTCTGTTTTGGAGCAGGATGCATGCTTTCCTGGAAGGAATGCCCAAAGAAAAACTAGGAACTTAGAAGGGGTATAATTGAGAGCAAAGATAAATACTTATCTTTAAGTCAGACCCCCTGCCTTATCATATAAATACCCCACCCCCATGTCAAATAACTCAGTGTCTCTCCCTTTGAGAGCACCCATACTCATGTTAGCGTGTGCTTCTGCCTTCCTCCTTGTCTGTTGTCTGCATGCCTACTTGTCTGTTCACTTTATTGAGTATTGTCTACTCAATAAAGCTCCTTCAGGTTTTCTTAGCGTTGTGACTTGTCCGGAAATTCTTATTCTGTGACCAAAGTCAAAGACCCTAAGTAAAGAGTCCCCAGCTTTTCACACACAAAAAAAGAGTCTTCAGCTTTTAGAGAAAAACTCCACAAACCCTCACCATTATCTGGATAAATAGGACACCCGTCCAAGGGGATTATTCATTTATCTCCTAGTTCTGGAGTTTTACAGCCATGGTACTAACATCAGCTAGGGTCCAATGAAGATCTGGTGCTGTGTTAGAGAAAGTACGTGCTGATGAAGGAGTCTGGGTGGCCAGTCGAGAAGACAGAGAGAAGTTCAAGTGTTAGGTTTGGGTTTTCACAATGCCTTGCTCTGTGAGAACTCACTCCTGAAAGCGAACATTCCTCACCAAGGGCATTGGCTCCCCAGTACCCAATCTACCTATATATGACTAAGCCACGCTTCTTAATGCTCTCATAACCTCACTGAAGGCCAAACCTAGAACCTTTGGTGGATAAACCATATCCAATTTATCGCAGGGGATCTTGGAGTTGGGATCTGGGAAAGGCAAAGGAGAGGAGGATTAAGAAAGCGCCACAGTATACCAGAACACAGAGGAACAGGCCTTCAGAATACATCTGGTATCTCCACCATTTTCTGAGATAGAATCTTAGATCTCCACCTCTGTGTTGACCACAGGAGCCTATTTTCAGAAACCATGCCCAGAGAGCTTACATCATGAGAACTTTCTGTGCTGTCTGTTTTCTTCATTTTTAAATGTGACCAGAGTTAGTTCTAAGGAGTGACCGATTGGAAAAGAGTCCTTGGCATTGGAAGAGAGTGGTTTCTGAGCTCTCCTTCGCCCCTCCCACTCCCTCAGCTGGGGAGACAGAGCGTGAGTAGGTTGTTTATGGTAGGAAGAAACAATGGGAAGAGTTAGGTGGGACCCAGGAAGCAAACTTTCCACTGTTCCTTCCTTCTCAGTATTTCCATTCAAGGAAGCGAAGGAACAACAACATCAAGATAAAAAAGAACTTTCCCAGAATTATTCATTGTGAGACCAGGACTTAAATAGAAGGAACCGATGTCTGATGATAATCTGATGGTTTGCTTCTACATTAGACAGAAGCAAGGTATGTCGATGTGGACTTCACGTCGAACTTATAGTCATTACTGACGTCTTCCGTTCTGTTTTTGACGGTATTTAGTGGTGTCACTGAGATGATAGGATCGGGGGACATAGGAAGGCATCGCTTGAGATTGGTATGTGCCACAAGACCATCTAAGTTGACTAGTAAGGCTGAAGGGCACACTGTTCCAGGTTTATCCCATAGTTGAAAAAAAATCTGACATTTTTTTCTTTTGTTACTTAAGTAACCATCTAAGTTGACCAGTCTATATTTATACACCTCTCCCTTTTCAAAAATTCATTTGACAATGGCTTCTGAATTAATTAGAACTCTATACCCCTTCTTAAACACATCACTAATGTAGCCAGAACAGAACACATCACTAATGTAGCCTAAACAGAAGAAGAACAAGACACAGATGCAAAACTGCAAGGTGCTTTTTGTAAGACTGTGGTGATTGAGGTGTGTTCACATGGGAAACCATTGAACTACTTGTCTGGGTAACCTCAGACCTACACTGACAGGATTTCTTCAGTTGTAGCTTTAGTGACCTGGAGTGAGAGTTGAGAGTAGCCAAGTCTCTTCCCTTTGCTTACAGAAAAGGGAATACACAGGGGCTGGGAGGGTGGCTCAGTGGTAGAGTGCTTGCCTTGCATGCATGAGGCCCTGGGTTCAATTCCTCAGCACCACATAAACAGAAAAAGCCAGAAGTGGCACTGTGGTTCCAGCGGTAGAGCGCTCGCCTTGAACTGAAGAGCTGAGGGACAGCGCCTAGGCCCAGAGTTCAGGTTTACGACCGGCAAAAAAAAGGGAATACACACACACACACACACACACACACACACACACACATACACTATATATTACATATTCCATATATAATATATATTTATAATATGTATATTTCCCTTATATATTATATATCATTTTTAATTATGGAAAAAGAAATAAAATAACAGAAGCAGAGAGTAATTGAAGATGTCATCCTGTTGGCTTTAAAAACAGAAGAAAGGGCCAGAAGCTAAAGCATACAGGCCAACATTAGAAGCTGGAAAAGAAACAGATGCTCAAGAAAGCACCCATCTCCCAACATCTCCATTTCACTTCTGACCTCCAGCACTGTGAAGAGAATAAAACTGTGGGACTTTAAGTCACCAAGCCTTTGGTCATTTGCGTGACAGCAGCCACAAGAAACCAACAGGCTTGAAGGCATCATGGGACCTGTGGGAGAAGTTTCCTTCTATCTGCCCAAGGTTCCTTGGAATCAGCTGACAAGAGAAGGTTAAATGGGAGAAAAAGATATACACATGGATGAGCATGTACCTGAGACAAATCACAGCATGGGTGACCAGCCACTGGTCCACCGTAACTTAACTGACTGGCGCCATGTTCTCCTATCCATTAGTAAAACTCCCAGAGGATAGATAGATAGTCATTTCTCACATTCAGTGGTGGTCTTGGGATAAAGCAAGGGAGAAGACGCTGCTTAGGGAAGTAAGATCCCCTGGGGGACTCTCTTTCCTTCATTTAATAAGAGTCTAGGGTATATTTCAAAGTCAGGGCTATGAGGAGTGAACTTTGTCCTGAAGCCAACTCATTATTTCAGTTTCCTTCTTGGTGGGAAGCGTCTGTTGATTCCCTGGGCTCATTAAGACCTAGGTTTGGTGTCCCCAGGTATCTTTCCTGTCATGAGAGGTAGAAACCTAGGACTAGGGGATCATTATGAATTTTTGTAAGAAACAGAAAGAAAAACCTCTTGGATGGTTAGTTGTATACATTTAGATTTGGATCCCTGGGGCTCAGGGGAGCACGTGTATAAAGTAACCTACTCAAGACCATCACTTGCTCCGCATTGCCCACGACTGGATTTGTTGGGTGACGTGGAAGGTAAACTCTGTCGTCGATCGGGATGGGGGTGGCTGGTGTTGAGTTGTCGAGGAAGGGCCTGACACAGGAGGGACTGCAGGTGTCCAGGACCTGGGAGAGCTGGTCTCATTTCCGGCTTCAGGCTCCACTCTCTGGAGACTGTCAGTCTGAACGTGGACACACTTCCTGGCTGCCAACTGGTAAAAGTTGCTGATACCGCAAACCAGGATGATGATAATCTTTTAGTGTTTGATGGCGAAATGATTATCGTTGTTCACTGGTGCCCATGTTCTAGACTGAGTTCCAAAGCTGAGGGGCAGATCGGTTGAGTCCCGGCTTCATCCTGGGCGATGGGAATGTTCAGTCAAAATCTGATTGTATCTCCCTACTCTGTATCCAACTCCTATTTTATTGGCCTGTCTCTGTAATTTCCTGCAGCCCAGGCTTTTCCCAGCTCTGATTCGACCCGGCTTAAGTGTTCTGTGTACAGATTGTTCTAAACCTGTGCATGCATGTGCCTGTGTCAGCTCACCCCAGAAGCTTGTAAAAAAATAATAAATGACAAGGTTATATCCAGAGCCGGTGAAGCAGAATCCAGTAGGGCTGACGAAGGTATTTGAAGGATAAAATATATTCTTCAATATCCCAGAGACATAGTATGCATGTAAACACAGGTTTCCTCTTGCTTCTTTTCTTCCGCCCTTCTTTGGACATAGTTTCAATATGCTTTATTATCTTTCTGTGACAGTCTTCTCAGTTTCTAAGAAGAGCTATGTTTGTTTTTTAGATTTTTTTTTGTCATTATTAAAACAGAGTATATATAGACCAGGTTGGCCTTGAACTTTTACTCCTCATGCTTCAGCCTCCAAATGCTGGGATTATTGGGTGTGTGCTCCTATTGATTGATTTATTGTCCTGGGGCTTGAACTCAGGACCTGGGCACTGTCCCTGAGATTTTGTGCTCAAGGCTAGTGCTCTACCACGTGAGCCAAGGTGTGTGTGTGTGTGTGTGTGTGTGTGTGTGTGTGTGAGTGTGTGTTGTGTAGTTAAATA